ACTCGGGATTCGGGGAGTGGGGAAGTGTTCCTCTGGGCAGGGTCTGGACACGCCAGCCTTCCCCTGGCTCTCAGCTGGGAGTCCTGAGCACGCGCCAGCTGCGTATGCAGGCGGGTGCCTCACACCTGCTGTAGTCTTCTCCACCCCCAGCTGCGAGGCCGAGACTCCCCCAGTCCCGGAAGGCGCCCCACACCTGCTGCAGCAGTGCCCCATCTCCCCACAGCTGCAGGGCTGAACAACCCCACGAGAGGCCTGCGACCAGGGCAGGTGCAGGGCGTTCTCCCTGCCTCCCGAACTTCCTTCACCCCCCAGATTTTCCTCTGCGGGTCTGTGATGAGGGTAGAGAAAGATTACGTGGAGTTTATGTGCAGATTCACCCCCAGTCTCCACCCTTCTTGGGAACCTAAGTCCTTCCTAAAGATGTAGCTACATTGCCTAGCCTGGCATACCCTTTTGATAAAGCCCTTTGGGATGCAGGAGGGCAGACACTGCACCAAATCTTTAAAGAAATCCTTCTAAGGAATGATATCGTTTCGTACCCCTCAAAAGTACCCCTAGTAGTCCCGTTCTACCCCTCATTTTGCCCAATACTTTGACTTTGAAAGGCTGATGAGTGTAGAGCTAGGCTAAACCACTAAAGTTCAGTTGGGTTTTGGGAGATCTTGGGAAACTAGGCTACTGCCCCCAAGGCCTGGTAAGTGGAGACCCCACCTCCGTAAGCAGAGGGGTTGAGAAACCTCACTTAAAGGTTTCCACATGACAGCTACCCTGATCAACCCTCAGACAGAAAGGCCAGGATCTAGCCATACCTCAATGGACCCCAGGGGCATCTTGAAGGCATTTCCCAAGCGAAAGAAAATTCAGGCCAATCCATCATCAAAAGCACTTGCAAAGATTCCTAAGAGGGAAGACGGAGAAGGAACAGGAGGTAAGTGGACCCAATCTCAGAACCCTCATATGCTTGAACCTTCAGACTTCCTACATTGTTCATGGCCAGAATCAGATATTAGTTTAGAGCTGACATTGCCCGCCCAGGGCCTGCAGGTTGGTTTGTACCTGTCTTGCACTAGGCTTGGTCCCCAGTCTTTGACAGGCTGCTTGCTGTGTTATATTCTACCGTACTCTGAGATCTCCATCAATCAGAAAATATTCCCTGATTCCTACTGAAATGACCAACAAAATCCTTTGCTCTCCAGGAGGTTGCCTGAAGTTGGGAGTGGAAGAGGATCAGATATCCTTATCAGATCCCCAGAGTTATATAAGCCTTTTTGCAGCCAAATAGACAAATAGATGGCAAAAACTTACATTGAGTGAGGGGAGAATCTATTACACTGTGAGGCCTATAATGGCAACATGTGTGTGCCTTGTACATGGTAGGTTAATATTTGTTGAAAGAATAAATGATCAAACAGTAATTTATAGGATGCCTGTAATGTGCTAGACACTGTTCTAGTTTACATGAAGGAACAGGACATATCAAAATCTTTGCCCCTTACATGAAGAGATGGCCCATGAAGAAATTAACCATATGCGATGGTGGAATTCCCAGAAGACAGGCTGGATGGAAGGAAAATTATTGTTTTGGGGTAAAGGATTTATCAGATCATATCTGAAAGTTATGACCATAGGCATCTGGATGTCCCCTCTACAGAGTGGCTGAGCTCCTTGAGGGCCCACGTTGTGCCCACTGGCATTGGGCGAGCCCGAGCAGAACTCTTTGAGAAGCAGATTGTCCAGTATGGTGGCCAGATATGCCCTGCCCAGGACTCTGGGGTCACTCATATTGTGGTGGATGAAAGCATGGACTGTGAGCGAGCCCTCCGCCTCCTTAGACTGCCCCAGCTGCCTCCAGGTGCCCAGCTGGTAAAGTCAGCCTGGCTGAGCTTGTGCCTGCAGGAGAGAAGGCTGGTGGACACGGCAGGATTCAGCATCTTCATCCCCAACAGGTGGGCTGGTTCTTGTCTTTTCCCCAAATGTTTTCTAGCAGCATCTCAAGTTCTTTCCTTGGGTTATTAAAAATAACTCTATTGTCTTAATTGAACACATGAGAAAACCAAGATTTCAGAGTAGGGAAGGATTGGGAGCAGAGAAAGGGTGAGACTTTTGGTGTCTTAACCTCCCATCACCATCCCTGCAGGTACCTGGACCAACCACAGCTCAGTAAGGCAGACCAAGACTCTTTTCCTCCTCCTGGAACCCATGAGGGTCTGCTCAAGACAGCTCTTTCTCCTCCCCCTCCTCCCACCAGACCTGTATCTCCTCCCCAGAGAGCAGAAGAAGCCTCAAGCACCCAAGCCCAGGTCAGGAGCCACCATAGCTCCCTTTCCCTGGGAACTAGAACACAGAAGCAGGAAGAACCTGGTGGTTGTTCAGAAAATCCAGGGCCCCTGAGAGACGAGGGCTCTCTTTATTGTGAAGCCATTTAGCTCTTCCCAGCACTTATTACTCCTGCATTGCCCAGGCTATATCTACCACATGCCACTGGGCATCCTAGGGCTGGGACCAGGAAAGTGAAATGGAACACAGCCCCACATTTAAGGAGACCCAAGTCTGATGTGGAAGACTCAGCCTCATTCTTGGGTTTAGGAGACTCAGTCCCCACCTTTGAGGAGTATTCGTGGGGGGCATGTATTTATTGTCTCTTCTCCTTCCCTACCTCTAGCCCAGCTCTGACGATGAAACCAGTGATGGGGAAGAGACCCAGGTTAGCGCCGCTGATCTGGAAGCCCTGATCAGTGGCTGCTACCCCACACCCCTTGAGGGAGATGGTGAGCCTAGCCCAGCCCCTGAGGGCTTGGAAAAGTGGGTCTGTGCACAACCTTCAACCCAGAAGGCGACCAACCATAACCCCCACATCACAGAGAAGCTGGAAGTGCTGGCCAAAGCCTACAGTGTTCAGGGAGACAAGTGGAGGGCCCTGGGCTATGCTAAAGCCATCAATGCCCTCAAGAGCTTCCACAAGCCTGTCACCTCCTACCAGGTACTTGGGGGCCAGGGCAGGGTATACTGGCTAGAGATTGGTGGAGGCACCAGTCACAAATGGGGATCAGGTGGAGTGGGTAAGATTTTATGATGTCTGAGACTTGCACAAAAGTAAAACATGGAGAGCTTGATTAAAGCAGATTGGCAAAATCTTGATAATTCTAGAAGCTGGGTGATGGGTACTTGGGGGTTTGTTACACTGTTCTATTTTGGAATTTTTTCCATAACAAAAAGTTTTTTAAAAATGTTTACTGGACTCTGGAGGCCAACAATCTAAAGTTTGAATTCTGGTTTCCATCGTTCACTAATTGTATGACTTTAGGCAAGTTACTTAAAACTTCTGTGTCAGTTTCTTCATCAGTAAAAAGAGACTAAGAATAGTAACAAATTCAGTGTTATGTGAGGACTAAATGAGGTGATCCCTGTAGTGCAGAACATGATACACAGTGAGTCCTCAGTAACTGTTAGCGTTCACTATTGTGATGATGTTGGTGAATAGTATCATCATTATTGCCTTTTCTCTACCTTCTGTGCTGATCTCCATCCCTCTGGGAACCCAAAGACAAGTTAACCAACCCATTCCATCCAAACTTCTCATCTTCAGTTGTGCCCAAGCTTTACATAGCCATCAGTTGCTAAGCAGCCAGGCTGGCTTTTACTCAGACATCTACTAAAGGAGTCAGCTTCCCCACTTGCTGGCTCTACCTCTCCCATCTTCTCCCTCTTCTTTCCTGCCTCTACCTCCCCCATCTATAGGAAGCCTGCAGTATCCCTGGGATTGGGAAGCGGATGGCTGAGAAGATTGTAGAGATCCTGGAGAGTGGACATCTGCGGAAGCTGGACCATATCAGCGATAGCGTGCCTGTGTTGGAGCTCTTCTCCAACATTTGGGGAGCTGGAACCAAGACTGCTCAGATGTGGTACCATCAGGTCATACCTTGTCCCAGCCCCCACTTCAGTCTTGCTGTGTCTCAGAGCTCCCGACACATAGTTCTCTTACCCTGTATTTTATGGGAATGAACCCAGACTGTAGGGAGACCATTTGTCAATGAGTCCTGGGCTCATGTAGACTCCTCTCCTATCCTGCCCTGTTGCTTGGTATACTTGAGGCAATAGTCTTGGTGTAGACAGAGACAAGGAGCATGTTTCTCTACCCCCAGAGCAGCAAGGGGGGTCTCTTTCTGAAGAGACTAGGCCTCAGGGCTGAGTATTAAGAGTAGTGGTTCCTAAACCTGGCCATGCTCAAAATAACCTCCAGACTGATGGAATCGTGAACCAATATTTTAAGGTCGTGGCTGACCTAGATTGGGGCATGTCTTCTATGCCCTCTGCTTTTCCCAGTTCTCACTGATTACAGACCCAACTGCTCCTGGAGTTGGTCCTGCCTCAGGTCTTACTTGGATTCTGGGGTGATATAAGTCTTGTGTGTGTGTTCATTCACTGCCTCTTCATTGATCCTGGGTTCTCATAGTTCCCCCACCTGACATCTTTCTCCAGGGTTTCCGGAGCTTAGAAGACATCCGTAACCAGGCCTCCCTGACTGCCCAGCAGGCCATCGGCTTGAAGCATTATGATGACTTTCGGGAACGCATGCCCAGGGAGGAGGCTACAGAGATTGAGCAGACAGTAAGCAGGTGTCCCAGAGTAGTGAGGAGAGCCAGGCACTGCCCTAAGGTCAGCGCCTGGCTCAAAGCCAAGAACTCCTGATCCCTCAACTGGGGCATCAATCAGGCAGAGGAAGCTGTGTGCCCAGAGGAGGGATGGTGGCTTTGGTAGGGAAGGGCTGCAACACCGACTCCCTGGATTAGGGTTCTCAGTGGTCAGGCAGAGTAAGCACTGGCTTAGATGCTAGAATGGTGTTAGGACTGGGTTCATGATAGGGCTAGATTTTAGATAGATTATAGTCAGAACTACTTGAAAATATTGGGGTTTGAACTGGCTGGGTTAGGATGGATCAGGGCAGAGGTTCTTAACGTTTATTGATTCACAAACTTCTTTGATAACCTGGTGAAAACTATGGACTCTTTCTCTCCAAAAATTGTATAAATTTACAAAGTTTTGTATCTCTTTCCAGATATATTGACCTTCTGAAGCCCACCTGAGGCTGGTTTAGGATTTGAGTTAGGGTTGGTGAAGAAGCACAGCGCCAAAGGATTAGCTTTGTGGTTAGAGGAAAGCTAGATCAAGAGGCAAGTTAAGGTTAGGCCTGAATTAGAAGTAAGGTTTTCTTAGTGTTAGATGCTTTTAGTTAAGAATTGTGATTGTCCTAGAAATAAGGCCAAGATTAGGGTTTGATTTAGAGTTGGGTTAGGAATCAAGTTCATATAAAACCTAGATTAGAGAGAGACTAGGGTACATTCATGGTTAAGTGTATCACTTGTTCAGTTGGCATTAGGATTAGGAGCTGGTTGCTGTGGGCAGGGTTTGCTCACAGCAGGGTTTGCTTTGGTCTAGGATTCTGATAGGGTAGGACTTCTGATAGGGTAGGATTCCATGCCACGGGACCCTGAGGCTGGTGCAGCATGTCTGAACATGCCTCGTTGCTCACCTGTCAGCAGGCCTTGGTGCTAGTGATGACAGTGTCAGTCAGCCATGGTGTCTAGGCAAGGAGAATGCCCCAGTGAGCCTCCAGCCCCGCTGCCCATCTGACCCACTCCCATTATTGAAGGGCTCCAGCCTTAGTAGTTGTTGATGGGATTACTCATCGTAGGCCTCCTCCTATCCTCTTGGGAGGCTCAAGAAGGAATGAAGGGACGAGCCTGAGAGCCTGTCTGGAGAATTGAGGTGTCTTGGCTGAAAGTATCTAGGGCCCCAGAAATCTCAATGTCCTAGGGTGGAGGCGTGGATGTCATCTGCATATAAAAGGGCTCAGTGTCTCTGGAGTGGAGGCTAATGGGCTTATCCCCCTCAATAAGGGGGGATGGCCCTTCAGCTGTCAGTGCCCTCTGTCACAGCTCCCTCCCCAAGGATGTCGGCTCGGAATCGCCTTCCTCTTTGCTTTCTTTCCTTTCCTTTCCTTGTTGCAGCTGTAGTTATATTTCTGGGCCCCATTTTCCCCTAGGCTTGAGTCCGGGCACTCCGCCGGCCACCTGTTGATGCCTCAAGCCCCAACTTACATGCTCTGCCTTTAGCTCCACAACCATAGATACCTGGGGCTGTGAAGACCTGGCTGAGGGCTTCTGGCCACTTGGCCTTTTTTTGTAAGTGGAGTTTCACAGACTTAGCACATAGGTTGGTGAAGGGGCCAAGAGAAGGTGTTTCTCTCTGTTCTGGAAGTGCTCTAGAGGGAACGGTAGTGCTTTCCCTCAGAATCAGAGTGCCATCTTCTTATCTCTCCTTAGGCTGCCTCCTGTGGTCTGAGTGTTTTCTTCTGTCCTAGTGAAGCTAGAGAACTGCTGCTCCCCAGGGTCATCTCTAGCCTGTTCCCTGGGGCTCGTTCCTTCAGGCTTTTATCTCGCATCCAAGGATTGGCTTGGGGCGTAAGCTAGAAGTGTGGGCTCCTGAGTCATGGAAGGCCCTTGTGCCTCCACGGGAGAGGAACTCCTTGCAGGGCTTGAGGCCCACAGCCCCTCACCCCCTCACTGTTCTTTCTCAGGTCCGGGAATCAGCTCAGGCCTTCAACCCTGGGCTGCTGTGTGTAGCATGTGGTTCCTACCGACGGGGGAGGGCAACCTGTGGTGATGTAGATGTGCTGATCACTCACCCGGATGGCCGGTCTCACCAGGGCATCTTCAGTCGCCTCCTTGACAGCCTTCGGCAGCGAGGTATAGTAAGCTTCATCTCCGGGTGAGCAGGTTAGCAGGGGGCAGGGCAGGGCTGGGCGGCCCCCTGGAGGGAAAGCCTCAAAGTTGTAATCTCTAGGCAGGAAGCAGGGAAGGTTGCTTGTGAGAATCCCACCTTGTGTCCAGAGCCATTTCAGGGAAGAGATGAAACAGCCCCCACACCACACAGAGGTGCTCAGTACCACCTGTGGGTTGAGTGTCTCATCTGATCTTCCTGTGACACTGGGGGATGGGAGGAATTTCTATGCACATTTTATAGGTCAGGAGACAAGCCCAGAGAGGGCAAGGGCACCCAGCAAGTAAATGGGTGGCTGGGATTAGAGGACCTGAGATGATCAGGAGAGACCTGGGAGGTCAGGATGGCCCAGGGCCTGGCTCCTGGCCCTCCCAGCAGCCTTTCCATGTTGAGCCAGGGTTCCTGACGGATGACCTGGTGAGCCAGGAGGAGAATGGCCAGCAGCAGAAGTACTTGGGTGTATGCCAGCTCCCGGGGCCTGGGCGGCGGCACCGAAGACTGGACATCATCGTTGTGCCCTACAGTGAGTTTGCCTGTGCCCTGCTCTACTTCACTGGCTCTGCCCACTTCAACCGCTCCATGCGGGCTCTGGCCAAGACCAAGGGCATGAGCTTGTCGGAGCACGCCCTCAGCACAGCTGTGGTACGAGACACCCGAGGCCTCAGGGTGGGGTCTGGCCAAGTGCTTCCCACCCCCACTGAGAAGGATGTCTTCAGGCTCTTAGGCCTCCCCTACCGAGAACCAGCTGAACGGGACTGGTGACCCATGGCTGGGGCAGAGGGGGCACCCAACTGGACCAGCTTCCCCACCTAGCCATCCAGTGCTCCCCTCTAGCTTCAGCTGACTGACTCTCACTCTTTCAACCACCAGCTACCTGGGCCCGACGGAAAGGACCAGCCGGGCTCCCAGGGTCTTCCTAACCCTCCACTGACAAGAGCAGGCTGCTGCCCTGGTAGAATTTTGTACGTGGCCCCTTGCCCTATTTTAAGCAGGAACAGGTGGCTGGTTTGAAGCAAGCTTTCTGTGCTGAAAGCCCAGGCAACCCCACTTCCCTACCCTGAGGAAGGTCTAGCTGCTGGAGGTGGGATTGGAGCTACAGGGGGAGAGGCAAGCAGCTGTGGCCCAGCATCACCCAAGACCCTTTGGAGCAGGACAACGAGCTGTTCCATGTACTCCCTCCACCCACCCCGCTTCCTGTGCAGCTGGAGGTGTTGGGAGGGGGTACCCCAGGCTTGGTGAGAACAGCATTTGAAGCCTCAGGGGCCCAATAAAGTGCATTTGACATTCAACCTGCCTGGTGTCTGTGAGCTGCTTCAGCCCCCACCTTGTTCCACCCGGGGAGGGATGGAGATGGGAGCTGAATGGGAGCCCAGAAAGGCAAGTTAACTGCTCTCCAAACAGGCCAAGCCTGAGTCAGTTCCTGAACTCAGAAGGAGACAGGTGGCTATTAAAAGGGAAAATTCATGGAGTCATTTAGGAGCGCCTGTCTACCCACCAGCATCTCCTGTGGGCTCCATCCTAGAATAGGCTATCTGGGGACATGAAAAAAGGTGGCAAGACTCATTAGGAACAACTAAATGGTGAACTGTGTGCCCCTAACAGGACCGAGGTAGTCAGGGAAGGCTGCCTGGAGGACGGGAGGAGCAGGCTGGCAGGGAAATAGCCTATTTGAGAGAGGTAAGCAGGCTCTGGAGATAACTAAGGAACCTGCTTTAGACGGGCTGCTGTATGCCAGGAGTAAGGAGAAGGCTGGGCTGGTAGATGACTGAAAGTCAAACTGAGGGCCTTAGTTTGATAGAACAGATAGGAGAAGTCCAGCTAGTGCCATGACGATGGTTTTCAGAGGGTGAATAATGCAAGATGGAGAATTTGGGGAGGGGAGTGGAGGGATATGGAAGAAGCTTTGGGCATCCCCAAGTATGAAGAATAATGGCACAGAGGCAAGATGAGGCAGCTGTGTTGGAGGAGCAGCAGGGAGCCTCAAGGGGCCCCGCGATATGGGGGATTTTGAGGCAGAGCAGGAGGTGAGCTCAGGAGGCAGAGTACGCTGGCTCTGAGGCAGGTCGGCAGGGGCAGGGCGTTGGGGGAGTGCTGCTGAGTCAGCCCTTTGTCAGTGACTTGCAGAATCCCCGAGCTGGCCTTTGTTGGCCTGGTTTCAGTCAGGGGAATCTCAGCAGCCTTAGGTTAGGCCCCCCCAGCTAATTCAGAACCCTGAAAGCCAAGCCATGGGGACTTGTCAGTGTGGGTCATTCGGGAAAGGAACCGAAAACCCATGGAGTCTGGGGGCCCCGTTCATAACTCTTATCAACCAGAGATGGCCCCATCAAAAGCTCAGAAGCCTCTGTGAGGGGTGGGCCTCTCCCTCAGAGCTCCTCCTCCCAGGGAGGTGTGGCTGACCATAGCCTGGAGTGGACCAGAGGAGCTGGGAAATCCCTGGGTCCCCCAGGTGTTAGGGCTGCTTTTATCCTCTCCCTAGTTCTGCTAGTTCTACTCTGGGCTGGGCCCCCAGTGCTCGCCAGTGTCCCTAGCGAGGGTCAGAGTTGGCAGAAGTGAAAAGCCTAGGGTGTTGGGGTCCAGATGTGGCCGTCGCTTGTCTTTTCCTTTTGCTTCCCACTTCAGCAACCTCTCCAGGCCCAGAGGAACTGGGCCTCGTAGGCCTCGGGATAACTTGACCACTTAACCCTTTCTTACATTCAAGAAGTTTCCAGAACCATGGGAAGTGATAGTGCTGACTTCTGTGTCTGAAACCAAGGGCCCCCATTCCTGCCACCCTCCTTTCCCCAGAAGACTCAGAATTCCAGACACTGCCTTCAGACCATGCAAACTCTGGGGCTCACCTGGCAAGGGCAACAGGAAATCATGGGATACGAAAGGAGAGTCCCACACCCTCCAGAGAGACCCATCCGGCGGGTCGTATCCTCTTGGCTGCTCAATCTGACACAGGAGCCCAAGGAAAGAACTAATGGAGGGATTCCTGTGTCTTGAGAAAGGCTGCCAAGTTGGGAAGAGGAGTTACTCTCTGCCTCCCAAACTAAGCAAAAGGTGCTTGGGGGTTCCCTAGCCACTTCAGAGCTAGGTTTTCAGCCCAGTGCCCCATCCTGCTGGAAAGGGAGACAATTTCAGAGCCTTGGTGGCAACTGGCATCCTTTTCAGCAAGTGAGCACCCCAAAACCATCACCCAATCACCACCTGGTCCTGAGGAGGGGGAGAGGGTCACCAAAAACCTGTTTTCTGTCCCTAGCCCAGCCATTGTCACTCTATCCCTGAGCCAGAGTTGTCCCTGGCCAGACCATGTGTGGTAGACAGAATAATGGTCCCCCAAAGATGTCCACATCCTAATTCCTGGAATCTATGAATATGTATATTACTTGGTGAAAGGGACATTGCAGATGTGATTAAGGTTGATTTTGAGATGAGATTATCCTGATTATCCATTGGGTCCAATCTAACCATGAGTCCTAAAAAGCAGAGACCCTTTCCCAGCGACAACCAGAGAGAGTCGTGATGAGGGAAGAAAAGTCGGAGCGATGCAGCATTTCTGGCTTTGATGACAGAGAGAGGGGCCACCAGCCAAGGAATGTGGGCAGCCTCTAGAAGCTGGAAGAGGCAAGAAACATCCTTCTCTAGAGCCTTCATAACAGAACACAGACCTGCCAACATCTCGATTTTATTCCACAGAAACCAGTGTCAGGCTTCAGAACAACAGAACTAGGCGAGAATAACTTAGTGTTGTTTTAAGTCGCTAAGTGGGTGGCAATTTGTTATCGTAACAATAGAGAACCAGTAGACCAGGTGTGTCTTGGACTCTCCTGTACAAAGTGAGCAGGCCCTGCTGTGAAGTGGAAGAGGTCCCCCAAAGTGCAGTGGGGTGTAGAGAAGGGGAGGGAGGCTCGTATGTCCAGAGTAGGGGTGTGTCAGGTGGTAGGCAAAGCCCTGAGCCCTGGACCTCTCCGAGTGGCTGCCATATGCTCAGTCCGAGCCTCCCTTAATGTCAGTTTCCCTCTCACTTTGTGCCCAAGATAGTTTTCTCTGGGCCACTCTGCCCCAACACTGCCAAACTGGGAGCCTCATCTTTTCCCAGAGCCTGGGGTGATAACACTGACCTTGGCCCAAGGCTTGCACAGAAAGGGAAACAAGGCCAAAGCTTACTCCTGGGTTCTGGCTGCTCATGGGGGAGCAAGTGTAGGGACAGGGACAGGGGCCTCCCAAGCCTTGAGTGGGCATGGCAAGGTCAGCAAGCTCAACTGTGTCCCACCCTCCAGGATCCAAAGGCTAATAGAAAACCCAAGCCCCTTGTCCTGCTTTTCCAAGAGAGTTATGGAATTCCTTTCTCTTTAAATGGAATGGGATACCTCTTCCCAGGACTAGGGACTACAACTTGAGAAGACATTGGCCTTACTCCCACTCTTCACTCCCTCAACAGGAGAGCCCCTTTCCAAGCTCTCCCCACCATCTCAGAGATCAGCCCCACATAGAAGCTACAGCTGTTGGGGTATCTGCTGCTACACAGACTCTGCAGACACCCAGGAGCTGTCCCAGGCCCAGGATGGGCTTAGACCCAATACCTTTAGCCCTATGTCTACTCTGCCCCTCAGTCAGGGCACCAGCTGTCTCATTTTCCAGAACCCCTGAGCTCCCGGGCAACCCTGCTTCTGAGCACTGAAACAGGGGGACCCTCAGGGCTGAGGCCCCAAAACTAACCTGAGACTGGGCCAGGCCTCATCCCCATAATCTGAACGTGGGGCTCTACAAGCCTTGGTCCCCCACACTGGAGGTCAGTACAGAAGCTGAGCCCCAGAAAAGACCTAGAGGGAACATTCCTGAGGAAGGCTCTGAAGGTAGAGGACCCAGGATGGTGGGACTGTGGGGAGGGCTCTGAGGATGCCATGGGGGACAGTACAGTTGGTCCTCCATATCTGCAGGTTTCACATCTGCAGATTCAACCAACTGCGGATGGAACATATTTGGGAAAAAAGTTACATTGTTGCTGACATGTACTAGGTAGTTAGTCCTATGATGGTTGCATCTCTACTCAACATGTACAGACTTTTTCTCTTGTCGTTATTCCCTAAACAATTCAGTATAACAACTATTTACGAAGCATTTCATTGTATTAGGTATTATAAGGGAATCTAGAGAAGATTTAAAGCAGGGGTCCCCAACCTTTTTGGCACCAGGGACTGGCGCCCCAATTACAATCTAATGCCTGATGATCTGAGGTGGAGCTGAGGCAGTGATGGGGAGCGGCTGCAAATACAGATGAAGCTTCACTCGTTCATCCGCCATTCACTGCCTGCTGTGCGGCCCATTTCCTTACAGGCCGCTGACCAGTACGAGGCTGTGGCCCCGGGGTTGGGGACCCCTGATTTAAAGTATAAGGAGGATATGTGTAGGTTATGTGCAAATATTACACCATTTTATGTGAGACGAGCATCTTTGGATTTTAGTATCCTGGAACTAATCACCCTTGGATACCGAGGGACCACTCACAGTACAGGCACCAGGCAAGGGGAACAGTGCTTGCTGCTTGAGTAGCAGTGGAACCCCTACCTGGCCCTTCACTCCTCTGGACTCAGGCCTAGCCCTGATGGAGCAGGCCCAGGGCCCCAGACATAGAATTCCTCCCACAGAGAGAAGCCTCAGCCCCAGTACCCTCACCCAGTGAGCTCTGGTTCCCTCAGCTGGGCTGTCATTGTGGTTGTCTTCTCATTGGCTTGTGTGCCTAATGTGCATTCCCAGGCCCTATGTGTGTCTGCTGCACATTCGTGATTTTGTATCTGGGCACGTGTGTGGGCAACTGGTTATGTATATATCAGTGTACCCATCTACCTAGATATCTGTGTGCATTCCTCTGTGTCGTGAAGGGTTCGGGCAGGGTCTGGGGGCTGAAAGGAGGGTCCCTGGAGTCCTCCGTGGTGCTGGGCAGGGCCTGCAGAAGGTGGTGGAGCCCTGGCTGGGCTCTGGACTCTGGGTCCTTGTGTCCATGGAGGCGGCCGCAGGGCGGGCTGCCTGCGTCAGCCTTGAGCGGCCATCAATAGCACGCGGTTAATTAATTTGATGGGAACAGCAGGGACCGCCGTTTGCATTTAGTGAAGTTCCAGGAACTTCCAACCTCATCTTCATAATTGGCCTCATAAATTGTAAGAAAGAGAGAGATCAGCAAAGCAGGAGGGAGGAGGGGCTGCCCGTCCGTCCTTATTTAATTTTATTGCTGAAATTCATCTTTTTAGCCTCCTCCAGAATCGGCTCTCCCTGCCGGATTTGCCTAATCATGATAAATTAATATTCA